GAATAGAATAGAATAGAATAGAATAGAATAGAATAGAATAGAATAGAATAGAATAGAATAGAACAATAACTTTGTCACTTCGAATGTACACTATAATTGGCATACGTTGAAATGAAATTCAGCTCTCAAAAGGTCACCACCTCCAATATACACTATATGAACACAACAAAATAAATAAATAAATACAAAATTATGTATATGCCCACAAATATTATATGACACAGAGAAACAACACAGTCTAGTTTGGATGTATACACACACATAGTGAGAAAAATGAATCTTGTGAATTTACCAGATGGATGAGATAGGGAACAAAGAGCTAAATTTTACTGAAGGTAGAAACCCAATGGTGCAAACCTGGCCAGTTATCCTAGAGCGAAATAAGATAGAAGACATCGGTGCAAAACACAACCATTTAAGACATTGTTAGGAAAAGGAAAAGCCCTGATAAGACCATATTTAATTTGTATTCTTAGTTACTATGGCAGCCAGGTTGCCATCAGATGTTATCTACAAATAAGGGTGAAGGGCTGATATTATGGCTGAGTCTGGCTTCATGAAGTCTTGATTGAATGATTGCCCTATGGGGAAAACAAATGGATTACACTCCTGTCAATGTGCATGACCAGACGATTAGGCTTTATTTCCAAAAGGTCCAAGGGAAACAATGTGTCCTTTGACCCTACGAAATTGCCTTTCAGATCAGCAGTGGTGGCAATTACAGATGTCATCTCGCCCTCTTCCCTTCCTTCTCTCCTGAAGTCAGATTGCAGCCCAGATACCAGTTTTCATCTGGCTTCTCTTTTCATCATGTTTGATTATACATAATTATGTTTTATTTGACTTTATTATTTAAATTGTTTGTAATTATTTGACTTCATTATGAAATCATATGCCTTTGCTTTGTAATAGGCAGAACTACCTTGAAATAAATGACAGGTTGCATTATGCAAAACCACCACCTGATTAATGTCAATAACAAAAATAGCAATAACATCCATTTCACGAGTAACACATTTGATTAATAATTCTAATAAAGCAGATATTCTTTTTATAAAACTCCTCAATTTTGAGTACAATCCCACACCTGCTTATTTAGAAGGAGGTTCTATTAAACTCACTGAACCATAATTTTACAAATATCTACTTCCTTTCTGAGCTCATTTCCCCAAACTGGAAGATTTAAAAATGAGGAAGAAAGAGGTTTTTTTTCAAGTACATCAACTGAATTTGTTCACAAGTCCAATTTCAAAGATGATTAAATGATAAAAGTGAAGTGAAAATATCCTTTATGCCGCCATAAACATAGATGTGAGTTTTATTAGCCACTCATAGTTTCGCAACAATAATGTTGTCTGAATGCAGGATACAGGCTTCTTCTGCCTATTCAAATCACAGAATATAATCATTATTAGTAGATTAGTTTAGGATTAAATAGACAAGCCAGAAGTAGCAGCATTTGGTAGAGCTATGTGTAATATCTGCCAAACAAGCTGTAAATTTCTAACTGCTCATGGAAACAGCAGAAGATTCATTTTATGTTTAAAATTATACCATAGGTTCCTACACCTGCATTCTGTATAACAACCTAACTGTAGAAAAGTTAAGTACTAAACTTCCATCAAATGCTTTGCACAGACCAATCAGATAATATTCATAGGCTGTCTGTGATAGGAATGGGGTACTTCAGAGGGGGTTTGAAAAGAGATTCCCTCTGAAAGAGATTCATTGCCCTCTCTTCTACATTTAAGACTCCAAAGTGTATCCACTGCACAAATCGCACTACTACTGGTGAATAGCAATAGCAATAGCTTTTAGACTTATACACTGCTTCACAGTGCTTTATGGCCTCTCTAAGTGGTTTACAGAGTCAGCATATTGCCCCCAACAACCTGGATCTTCATTTTACCGACCTTGGAAGGATGGAAGGCTGAGTCAACCTTGAGCCTAGTGAGATTCTGCAGACAGCTGGCAGTCAGCAGAAGTAGCCTGCACTACTATATTCTAACCACTGCACCCTGTTCCAAAATATATGTTTAGCAAGAGGTGCCAAATGTTAATTGTTCCTCTCCCTCACAGTTCCCAAATGAGTTGAGTTTTTTTTTTTAAAAAATTATTTATTTATTAAAGAAAATATATGACCACCTAACTTTGTCATGGTGACTCTGGGTGGCTGGCAGTAATAAAACCCCAAATATTAAACCCAATAGATCCCTATTCCGCTGGTGACAACATTCAAACAAACTACAGTACTTGATGGGCTCCATATCAACATGGGCTCCCCAGACTTAATGTATTGGCGAAACGATATCTTCAGGATCTTTGGAAGACTCACAAGATGAGGGTCAGTCTTATATCTATGGAGATGATGGTCCACAGGGAAGGAGCCACTACAGAAAAGGCCCTTCCTGGTCCCACTACATGAACCTCCTTGATGGAAGAGACCTGTAAGATACCTTGCCTCCCCAATCTTGTCGGTCAGGTAGATGTAATTAATTCAAATTAATTATATTAAGTAAAGTAGATCAGGTCGATGTAATTAATTCAAATAAATACATTAATTTGTAATTCAAATAACTTAACCCCAAACCATGAAGGGCTTTTAAAATAATACTGTTTGTTACTGCTCCTTGCGGATGATAGGAGTTATAATCCAGCTCATCTGTAGGGCAACGATTGTGAAAGTCCATACGATAATATAGAAAGTAATTTAAAGGATCCTATAAAAAGGGTTGGGTGGGTTGGGTGGGATTTAGGCTTGGGAATATATGTGTTCAATGTGAAGTTCAAAGTGGAGTTTTCTAGAAGCACCAGAAAACACTTGTGTGCCTTTTCAATTGCTGTGCAGAAGCTTTTTTCCCTCACTCCTGGATAGGCCAGAGGGAGTCAGAAGAGTAAACGAAACAATGCAGCAGTTTCGCATTGCTCTTCAAAGGTAAGGACTGTGCAGTGCAAAAATGTCTGCAGGGGATGATAAAAAAAACAAAACCAAGATGCACATAAAAACAGGCAGTGTTTTGATTTCACTATCACAGTTTCCATCCTGATGTTTTAATCATACCTTGCAGACATCCCTGGTTGTCCACCTTCATGCAAGATACCCTGTAAGAATAGAGGTAATGACTTCTTCTGGAAGCAAACTGCTGGTCCATGAAAATATGAGCCATAATACTTAAAGGTTCCTTGCTTCTTGCATTGATTTGGATGCAACAGATTGACCTGGCTATCCAGGCTGGAAAGTGCATCGTCCCTCTTGTATATCTGCACACACAATTTGTTACAGTTTGCAGCAGAAATTCGGATCCAGAAAAGCACACACAGATGACTGATTCAGCAGGATTCATTAACTTCTTTATATACATAATAATATATCAGTAAATGTACAATACCAATAGTAGACTCTTTCAACATGGTAGTAGATAGAGGCAAAACACAAGCAGCAGCTTCAGAACTCAGAACACAAACACACACACTGAAGTGCCACACCCAAGCTTCTCCTAGTTTCAGTTTCCAATTCACTTCCCATTGGCTGATCTGTTACCATGCCTATTCATTGGCTGACTTTGTTACTAAGCTCTGTTCCAGTTCATGAATATACTCTGGCACAATTCCAGTAAGTAGAATAGAATAACAGAGTTGGAAGGGACCTTGGAGGTCTTCTAGTCCAACTCCCTGCTTAGGCAGGAAATCCTATACCATTTCAGACAAATGGTTACCCAGTCTCTTCTTTAAAACTTCCAGTGTTGGAGCGTTTACAACTTCTTGAGGCAAGTTGTTCTTCTGAGTAATTGTTCTAACTGTCAGGAAATTTCTCCTTAGTTCTAGGTTACTTCTCTCCTTGATTAGTTTCCATCCATTGCTTCTTGTCCTGCCCTCAGGTGCTTTGGAGAATAGCTTGACTCCCTCTTCTTTGTGGCAGCCCCTGAGATATTGGAACACTGCTATCATGCCTCCCCTAGTCCTTCTTTTTGTTAGGCTAGACATACCCAATTCCAGCAACTGTTCTTTATATGTTTTAGCCTCTAGACCCCTATCCATCTGTTCAGGCAAATTTTGTTCCCAACTCTGTTATTTCCACAGACAATATGGTGAAGATGATCCAACTGGCAAGGACCAAGAAACAGAATGGAGGATGAGAACAACAGCTATGTGTACGTTCATAACAAATCATTCTTTAGAATGATTCACCTGTGAGGGAGGGTGAAAAGGGGGAATATACTGTGTAGCAGCTTTGTTTGCTTTAAGAAATGTTAGTCTTTCTGTATGACTCATTTGTTCCATTATTTGGAATGCCTGGGCACTGATTTCGAAGAGGATTATGGATCAGAACACCACTTGGAAATAGGATGTCTCTGCCAGAGCAGATACATATAAAGAGAGATTTTTAAAAAACCAAATATAAAAACATCCTCAAACTCCAGTTTCTTTGGAAATAGACACAAACAAATAAATTTAAGTAATTAATCAAGAGGAAATTATATTTACTACTATATGAAAGAAATGGAAAAACTCAAAAAAATGTTATTTTTTTTCTACTGGTTGATAAAACCTAACAAATACAGGTCTGCAAAAAAATTTCTCATTTAGCAGTAAGCACTGTATCGCAAATATGTTTTAAAAAGATAAATTGAACAATACAAAAAGGACAATGTTGCATTAGAGATTATTGTTATCAGCTGTGTGAACTAGAGTAGGAAGTATTTTTTTTAAATCATGAGCTGCAACTTTTTTTTTCCTAAATATTTTTGGCCCCTGAAGGCTGCAGAAGGCATGGGGGTGATGTTGTGGCACCAGTACCTTGTATAGACATATGTGTTTAATGTTAATGTTTGCTTTTTCGAAAAAGGGAAAAAAGTTTTCATATTAACCTTTATTTCACCAGAAAAAGTCCAAATAATTGCAGGTCAATGGTGTTGTAGGGCAGAGGTCTCCAACCTTGGCCACTTTAAGACTTGTGGACTTCAATTCCTAGAATTCCTCAGCCAGCTTTGCTTTGCTGGCTGAGGAATTCTGGGAGTTGAAATCCACAAGTCTTAAAGTGACCAAGGTTAGAGACCCCTGTTGTAGGGTGTGAGGAGTTAAAATTGACAAGAGAGTTGTCAGAATATTGGGATATCAGACTTTTGTACACGTGTCAATACATATTGAGTGGAAATGCATGGTGATCTTCCAACCATCAACTTGCTGATTTTCATTCTTCCTTGCAGATGCTTTCAGTGGTCAAATTTGGTGGACTTCTACAAAATGATTTTATGGGGTTAGGAAATGCAAGTTCTCCATCCTGTACCTCACAATTTCACTATCACTGTTTCTAGAGTTAGCATTGTCAGCCTATAATGAGGTTTGGTCATAGAAATGTATCCAAGACTTCTAATATTTCATCAATTCCATCAAAATCTTCAAAGAGATATAAGTTAAAAATGAATTTAATGTTTAACTGTAACAGCAACAACTGGATGTTTGAAGTGAGAGGCTAACAACCATCATATGGAGACTGCATGCTCTGACTCTGAAATTTAACCTTAATAGAAGTTAAGTTGTGCAGTGTATAGAGAGTTCTGGGTCCTTCTTTGACCCTTTCTGATTATAAATGTTCTTTTTTTTTTGAAAATTTTATTTGGGTTTTCACAAAAACAAAATACAAATAAACATCTTTTTTGAAAATAGCATGGTCCCAGGTTATCACTTCTTCAAACAGACACCAAACTCAATTTCATGCTCATTTTTATATTCTATTCCATATCTTATTACCGTTTTATATTTTCTACACAGTTTTTCCCCCTCTTTTAATTTTCTCAACTTTATTTTAATTATCTCATCTCAATTCAAATCATTATATTTATACTTTTGTCTGTCCTGTTTCAATTTCATATTATCTTTTCTTATTAAACAAATTTTTCCTGTAGTTACTAATTGGAGTATGACACCTTTATATCTTTTAATTTTATCCATTCAAACTCTTATTTAAGCTTCAAAGTATACCTTTAAGATTATAGCATTCAGTATAATACATAACTTCCAGTCAGATTCTGCTTGGTACATTCTTAAAATACACACTATATTCTTAAAAATAAAAAATTATATATATATATATATATATGTAAATAATGCACACATTCCATTCCAATTCAATTCTATCATTAATATTCATTAAAATCTTAACATCTTTAACATTTCTTTTCAATTAAATATTATACTTCCTTGGGAACACTTATAAACTTTCCATAGTTAATTCTTCCCCCCCACCCCATATTTCTCACTTATATTTTTATAAATCATTACTAATAATTAAAAATGTTCCCATTTAATTCTCTCAATCATTTTAATTCATTTATTTATTACCAAACATTCAACTACCTTACAGTAAATATTTTATCCATCATTTAAATCATATTTTCTAAAATTATTTCTGTTTGTAATATAACAATGCTATCTTATGTACCTTTGCAGAATCCCTTTTGCAATTAAATTTTCACCCAACAAGCTTATGGTTACAATCCATATAACTTTTCCCTGTTTCTCCATTTCTTGTTTCTGTCTTTTACAGCTTCCTTTCCTTGCCTTCTTCCCCCTCTTCTTCTCCCTCCCCCTTTTACCCCCTCGTCTCTCTACTTCTAACTCTCTCATCTGTAATCCCCTCTTCTGTTGCTTTCTAATATTATACTTATCTTTCAAATCATTCTTCTTTTTGGTTGTTTTTTCTAGTCTTAAACCTTTCACTTTTTCCCCCTTTTTTTTTTCCCCCCCACTTAAAATTATTTGATCATTAAAGATTCTTCTTTGTCCCAATCTTCTTGTTCTGCAAGCGTTTCTTGTTGTTTCTCATAGTTCTAGATTTCCATTTCTAAGAATTGAAATACGAAGCCAAAAGAACCTCTCCCTTCTTGTGCATCTTCTTTCCATTTTTTATGTTTCATTTTCAGTTCTTCTAAGAGTGATACCATTTTAAAAACTTTTAAACAACCACCCGATTAATTTTAGTCATCCAGATGCAAAAACCAAAAATCACCAAGTAATCCAAATAATCCAAGGCTGTTTCTTCTTGCTTCTTTTTTCCACTTTCTCTTCCTGGGGTTCTATTATTTTGTTACCAAGTTTCAATTAAAATGTATCTTTGAGGAATCTTGTTAAAATTTCACTGTAAGTTCCTTTTAGTTACAGTTCCATTCCTTAGTTCCAGGCAGTCTCCTCCATTTTTCCAGATCCTGCCCTTTTATTGTTTTTTTTTTTCTCCTTTCCTGCTTTTTAAAAACTTTTAAATATCCAGAAATCTTTATTCTCCCTTTGACTTTTATTTTCAGCTTAGATGCCTATTAATGTCAAAGTGGATTTTTTTCAATTTCTTGCTTAAGTCTCTTAGCTGTCAGTATAAGGAAGGGAAGGAAAAAAAAAACCTAATCCTTTCCCTTCTCTCTCTCCTTTGCAGCTTCAAAATCTTCTTTGGGAACAATGTTATTAAATTTAAATTCCAGGATACCTTATTCGTTGCTTTTGCTGTTTGACCCGGTCAACCAAAACTTTCTCTTCTTATCTTCCTCCTGCACATTCTTTTCCAGTCGAGTTCTTCTTTGTGGTGGCCATTTCTGACCACCTCTACAACTGCCTTTGGGAAAGGGAGTAATGGCCAGCTGGGGAGGAGAGATGCATCTCTCCTCAACTCTGCAGGCAGTCTCCCCCTTCTTCACCACCTCTATGGGGTGGCTTAGCCCCGAAACCAGCTGGCTCGGGGAGCTCCAGCGGTGAGCACAGATCGAAGCCTTGCAGAGATGAGGCTTTAGTCTGTCGCCAAAGAAGCTCAAACCGGAAGTTCCTGGTTATATGTGTTCTTCTACTTTCCCCCAAAATGCTAGAACATTCCAGGGAAGACGAGAACAGTGAGTTGTGCTTGACTTCAGGAAAATAGGACAAGCATAGTTCCCCTTCTAATTTCTCTACAAAGTTGGGAAGGACAGAGTGCACAATATCCAATGATATGGAGACCATCTATGTATAGGACCAATATATGAAGCCCTGGATGTCAAGATTGAACTGCTTTGCTTCTTTCAAACTTAATGTTTTTCAACTTGCCAATGAAATGGAGGGAGGGAAATGGAATGTGGAGAATGTATGCAGAGATCATGAGAGCATAGACCCAGCAAAGTCACCGCTGCAGGTTCTTGAGAAAGAGATGAACCATTCTCATAGCAAAAGACCATCTCATAATTGGATAATGTGATCAGCCAGATCACATTGTCCAATGTGATCTGGAGAAAGTATTGTATAACAGGGCAAGCATTTGTGCAGGAAACCAAAGCTGGTTTTGTTTCTTCAGTAGCAACATGGTATATCTAATAAGATTTTAATTTTGGGGATTCAATTCTGCTGAGAGTGTTTCCTTGTTTTGGGTTTGCTAATTGGACAGTTGACACTGGGATCTATATAATGTCCAGCCCTCAGGCATTCAAGCAAATGCATGGAGGGTGATAAGATCTTCCAGATTGTATTGGTGGGACGATATTAACAAACACAAATTGTACAATTTAAGTTTGATCAAAGAATAAAGCTGAAATGTGTTATCAATCCAATTAATTCACTCCTTGTTTTTATCTTTGGACCAAATAACGCTTCTTTTTTCAAGGAAGGCTTGAAAAACGTAGCCTTCATGCAGCACCAGAACCTGTGAAAATCCACTCAACCATCCCTGCCAATTAAAGGCTACAGGCCTGACCTTTGCTAGGTATTATTTCCCTAGCTGTTACTAAAAAACTAGGTTCCTGTTGAAGGGAGGATATCTTAGAGGACTCAGTGAGAGCAGCAGGCCACCATTGGTTTGGTAAATCATTAGCTTGTTAAAAGGTAGCTGAAAATATGCCAGTAACTCAGGACTATGAGTGGGAGGCAATCTTTCCTGTGTAGTAGTGTATCAATCCTCATTTTTAAAAGGCCAGTGACAAAATTAAGTCATTTCCATGCATCCCATGACATAGCTTCAGCAAGCATAGAGTTCATGCTGGAACCTTTGCCTGTTAGTCTGTTCTTTATAGTCCACCTGCAAAATCAAACCTATGATTGCTGAACTATGTCCAGCAAAGTTCAGCCAGGCTGATAAAATCCTGTGGTGAATTGATCCACAAAGAAATATCCCATGGAAATTTCTCTTGGACTGACAGACTTGTTTTTCCCCCTAAAAGGTAAGCTCCAATTATTTGTAATCAAGGGAAATGCAAACTTCGTTCAGAAAAAGAAAGCAGATTTGTACAAAATGTGAGCCTAGTGCCAACTATAATGAAAGAGATGGATAATCCATTTCTCCAGAGGAAGAAGACTGTGATCAACTGAGCAATACGTCTGTTCTACTTAATGATGGACAACTTTAAGAGCCCTGTTGGTTCAGTTCAAGTGCTTCCCTCCCGCCCTCACCACCCAGAGGTGGTATTCAGCAGATTCTGACCAGTTCTGGAGAACCAGTAGCGGAAATTTTGAGTAGTTTGGAGAACCGGCAAATCCCACCTCTGACTGGAGATTTTACAATGTCCTTCCCCTGCCATGCCCACCAAGCCATGCCTACAGAACTGGTATTTTAAAAAATTGAATCTCACCACTGCCCTCTCCCCACAACATGGATTCAGAATGGATAGAACTGCAAATGAAAGTCTTCCAGAGAAATCCAAGATGTGATTTAGATAAAGCCCAGCAAGAATCTTTTCTTCTGCACAAATGTGATTCTCTGAACCATCTTCAAAGATAGTTCTACTAATAAAGTACACTAATGAGGAGGCTAACAATCTTGGTCTGCAGAGTTTGCAGTTTGTGAATCAGTCTGAAAGGTTCATCTGAAAGGCACGCTGTCTCATCAAAGCTCCTTAGCCTGCAGGTAACAAAGTTAGACCCAGAAGAAAACCCATCTCCACCCCAGCTATGAAACTGCTAATCCTGAGATTGGGCAACCCTTCTCTATAACAAATTGGATAGCTATATTTGATTCTCATGACAGTGGAAGAAAGAGGAGTTGGGGAAAAAAAACTAGAAAGAGAGAGGATGCAAACATTGGAAAGAAGAAATGATGGTCAATAATGAAAATAACTCGGTCTTATTGATGATTGGTTGATTCTTACGTTATTACATTCACATAATGTATATTAATTCAACATGCATTTTTCTTTCTTCAGTACTGCACATGCATTTGTTTATGTACATATGCATATTCACCAGGAAATATGTATAATTTTTCTTTCTATTCTGTGCCATGGGAGGGAAGGAGCAAGATGATACTTGAGGTTTGAAATGAGAGCCACTTGACTTAGAAAACATTCAGGAGCTAGTTCCAAGGGAACTCTGTCAAGCAAATTGAGAAGGCACAGATGTTTTTTCTTGTGACCCATATTACCTGCCAGAATCTCATCAGTAGTTTGCTTTTGGTTGTTAATGGTGAAGGTCTCCAGAGAAGGCTCAGGCCTGACTATGAATATTAATGCATCCACAGACCTGAATTATCAGCTGATTTATGGATTGGGTGGTGGGAAGTGGGTGGGAGAGAATGCATTATGGAAACAAAGATGCAGGAATGTTAGCTATTTATTTGAAAAGGCTTTGGGAA